TATATATAAGTGTGTGTGTGTGTGTGTGTGTGTGTGTGTGTGTGTGTGTGTGTGTGTGTGTGTGTGAAATCGTATTCACCCCAACCAAGGTAGTAAAACCAATGAAACACATGAGGGTTACTAAGTGTGAAAGGATAGATAGATAATGTAGAGACTGGGATATATATATATATATATATATATATATATATATATATGAACTGAATTGTATTTTAATGAATATTGTCCCGAAGAAGGTTTATTAAACCGAAACGTCAGACGTCGACATTTCATTCATTTTAAACAACATAATTGCATTTAAGGATTTTTGTTTTTTTTTTCCAAATTTTTCTTCATTCTGTCGGATCTATATCCATTTACATTTGCTTATATATATATATATATATATATATATATATATATATATATATATATATATATATATATATATATATATAGATAGATAGATAGATAGATAGATAGATAGATAGATAGATAGATAGATGAAAAAATTAACCCGTTAGTGCCCAGTGTAAAATCCGGGATTAATTATAAAGATTAAAATAAATATCCGCTATTAATTACATGGTTATATAAATCTGGTATTAAAGGTTTAATGAAAATAATTTAAGTTACTAAACTGCCATATCTAATTTTATTAATCCTGTATACACAAATACACTCTCTCTCTCTCACTCTCTCTCTCTCTCCCTCCCTATAATTCAATTTACCATGTCGGACTGTAATTCTCGTATTTTGATCAATCAAAGAATTCCATTGATCATGTCGGATAACTGATCATGGTCTTCTCTTTGGTTTATTTTGAAGTCTATTACCTTTCGAACAAAACTTCTGAAACTATCTCTGTACAGTTCTGATTTCAACAATACCATTTCCAAAGACCGCCTTGATATTCTGAAATGCTTCAGAAGTATAATGACCCAGTTTGTAATCATAAAGTAAGATTACTCAATATTGTTTCATTGTAATCATTTTCATTGGTCTCATAAGTAACAATATATTGAAAGAAAAATTATCTGGAAAGAATAAGAGTCAGATATAAGTCAAGATTTTCTTATATAGTAAGGAGGTTACTTCGTTAGGTGACCGGATGAACAACCAACCCAAAAAATGCGTCATTTCATGTGTGACAACCTAATATTAAATGCTTCGAAACATACCGTAGCTAAACACAGATATATAGGAATGCACACATAGATCGACGAAACAGTAAACGCTCTCTGTAATGTGTAAATGACTTGTACAGTCGTTGACTCATTCTGAAGTGAGGTTGAAAAGTGTGCATATTTATTTGTGGCGTGGGAATAGAGGAACAATAAGCATAACAGCTGGAAAGGTAATTTGCCCTTTTCTTTGAGCCTCGGAATGCTAAGCGTTAACATCGAATTACAGGTGTTGTTAGGGCGAAACTTAAAAAAAAGGAGACTAAAGAGTGTTGGCCATTCATTTTCTTTCGTTCTTTTCTTTACTTTTTTTGTCTATATTTCTGAGATGAGGTAATATGTACACTATTTACATTATTCGGACTATTGTCCTCATCTTTGTCGCCATATTTATTACAGCGTTTCGGCCGTTTTACGCTGCGGCCTTCTTCACGTGGTTGGAATGTCGAACTGAACCCTTTATTTCACTCACTGGGGTAAACTGTTCTAGTTCCACGTGCCATGTTTAATGGACGTCAGTTATCAGTTTTATCCTGTTAATTCCCTTCTCCAAGTTCTCCAAAATCTTTGGGTCCTGTCATTGGATCTAACCAAAGCCTTTATCCACTGTGACGTATGTCCTTGAGGACATCTTTGTATGAATTCCTGGGTATTATAAACCTAATGTCTTCAGCACTCATTTTTACCAGTGCTCATATTGCAATTTTTGCTATTATCAATCCATGTTTTTACCAGAACTCATATTACAATTTTTGTTGTTATTATCGCTTTTCTCTGGCACTCCTTATTACTGGTTACTTTTTTTCTCTCTCATTAACGTGTCAATCACATATATGTCTCGATATTACAGCAAAGTATTTATAAAGATAAATCAATATGAAATAAACAATAAAAGATTTAGGCAGTACTAAACAAAATAACAAACTAAAACCTAATAGAGGAGTTTACACCATAACCTGTAATAATTGTCCACCAAAATACATAGGAGAGACCTCAAGGAATCTAAATAAAAGATTATATGAGCACAAAAGGGACAGTTTTCAAAAGATCACGTCAAATGCTTTGGATACCCACCGTAACGAGACTGGCCATAATTCTGACATTAAAAAATGCTACTCTGACCAAAGGACAAAAATAATTCACTACAATGTAAAGGTCTAGAAAGTGACTTGATCGAAAGGTCATCCAGAATATATTTGCGCCCTGTTTGTTACAACATTTCCCCATTCCTGGCAGATCTTAGTGTGGGATACTTACAAACAAAAGTGGTGAATTCGGCTAGGTATATATTTTATAAAATTCAAAATTTCTCAGCACACCTTGTTCGTGCGCATGTGTAGTCGTACGAATATAATACATTTAATCCGATGAAGTCCTGAAGGACGAAATGCGTCACAAGTAGAATTTTTCCAAATTGTCATACAATTTCCATACGTGTATATATATATAAAGACATTTTTATACATTCATTTTATAGATACAAATATTTAAGTTAACGCTCTGTTTATAATAAACAGTATTAAACAACATTTACCGACCTGAATGTCCGAGAAATTTTCACCGAAAATGTTCGTCCTCCGACAGGATTCGAACCTGTATCCTATACGGAACAGTCATTTAGCTTGACGTGCCTTTACCGATTTTCTGTGAAAATTTCTCGGACATTCAGGCCGGTAAATGTTGTTTAATACTGTTTATTATAAACAGAGCATTTACTTAAATATTTTATCTATAAAAAGAATGTATAAACATAAAAATGTCTTAAAATAATTCACGGACTTTGTCCATTTCATAATGTGTATATATATATATATATATATATATATATATATATATAGATAGATAGATGTAGATTTTTTTAAGCATATAGACATTACAAACCTAGTTATCTTCCCTGACGTGTACATTGTCAAATTTAAATTGTACAGTCCATAACCTTAACTCTGTATTGACTTCACTGTTCATTTTAGAGTTATCTACGCTCTAAACTTAATATTTAACACCTTTACCCATAAATATAGCCCGTCCTGGGTATGACGATAAACTAAATCTGCGTCCAGGGTAAGATGATAAACTACGTCCAACCGTAAGGCCTCTGATCAGGAGGTTTTGAGGACCATGGAACCACCACTTAATTGCTAGTGTTCCCAGGTTCACTCTGACCCAGGGTGGTAGCACCTGTTAGGGTCCCAGCTATGGGCAAATAGTTAACCTCGAAAATGAGGAAAAAAACCTTATGAAAGTGTAAAACTAGGATTTAATACCAGAAATACTTTGTAAAAAATTATTACCAGAAATACATTTTTGAAGAAAAAACTATTACCAGCAATACGGTTTTTTTTTAAAAAAAAATTACCAGCAATATATTTAAAAAAAAAAAAAATTATATTACCAGCTATACATATTCGAGGAAAAAAAATATTACCAGAAATAGATTTTTGACAAAATAAAAATATTACCAGGAAAAAAAAGGTGCCGGCATTAAATAACTGACTGAGGTTGATATACCGTAAAACAAAACGAAAACATAAATATAGCATAACTTAAAAACTTATGTTTGCGTTAGCACGATGACATCACGACGACGATCCCCCCCACTGCCATAATGACACCAATACACGCAACCTACATAAATCCAAAATTTTTAAAAAATTAATCAGTTTGTCTGACGATAGTAAAAGCGTGAAACCCAGGCTCACAAACTCACATCAACCCAACCAAATATGTTAGCTCTAGCTCTGATATTGAGCGCTTTCTAATAAGTACCGCGCATACAATATATAACTAATTATATATATATAATATTACACATACATACATATATTTATATACGCACAATTTTCATATATATTTTTCATTATATATATATATATTATTATTAAAAGATTATTACCTGTAGAACGACATTTCCCCCTTTAAAACACGATTTTAAAACCCATGCCAAATTCACTATAATTGAGAGAATAGAAAAGGTCAGAGCAGATAACATTAGAAAGATTTTAGACTTCCATGAAAATAAGTGGATACGACGATTAAAAACGCACTATCCAGACGGGCTTAATCACAAATTTAACAACATAGATATTATTAATATATAATCGGAGGAGAGATATCATATTACTGTTCAGCACTCTTTGTTACAAACGAAGGTTTTTCTGATTCTTAATACTTTGCTCATTATATACCGTGTCCCCCTGAGAAAGTAGGCGATCATGGCTCTCCACATTTTCCTCTGCTTCGTAGCTCTTAATAAATTTTGTCTTTTTGCTACTGCTTCTAAATCTTGTTCCGCCATCCATTTACTCAAGGTCACCAAGTAATGTTATACAGTTTTACTCTGTCCCTCTTGCCTTCAGTCTATCTTGTCAGCATAAGATTTTTCAAGCCCTAAATGATCTATATATATATATATATATATATATATATATATATATATATATATGGAACATTTTCTAATCATCGGGTCTGATAAGTTAATTTATTTTATTGCACCGCTAAGCCGCAAAAATGCCAACGCATTTTCCTCACACACAATTTTATCTATAATTCAGGCACAAAGAAGCTCAACCCAACACACGTCGGTGTAACGCGTCGTATATAAGCTTATCATTTCCATTTTTGTCTTGTATTTACGAAGAAGAGTAATATCAACATCCAACATACTTTTTAAATAAAAACATTAATTATTCATAAAATTCTAAATTTTATTATTAGTACAGAAAAAAGAAAAAGAGAAAGAGGTGATGCAAGCAAGCAAACAAGAAACAAAAAAGAAAGAAAGAATGAAAGAAAGAACAACGAATAAAAAACTTAAAGAAAGAGACTAACAGATGCGAGTTAAATAAAGAATATAGTTACATATGAAATAAATAGAAAAGAAAGAAAGCGAGCAAAAAACAAAGCAAACAAGCAAGCAAACAGAAAAGAAAGATAGAATAAAGAAATAAAGAAAGAAGAAAGAAAGAGAGAAAGAAAGATTGAATGAACTAGGAACGAAAAAGAAAGAAAGAAAGAAGAAAGAAAAGGAGAAAGAAAGAGGGAATGAACTAGGAACGAAAAAAGAAAGAAAGAAAACATGCAAGCAAGCAAAGAAACAAGAAAGAAAGAAAGAAAGAAAGAAAGAAAGAATAAAGAAATAAAGAAAGAAAAGGAGAAAGAAAGAGGGAATGAATTAGGAACGAAAAAAGAAAGAAAGAAAAATGCAAGCAAGCAAATAAACATGAAAGAAAGAAAGAAAGAATAAAGAAATAAAGAAAGAAGAAAGAAAAGGAGAAAGAAAGAGGGAATGAACTAGGAACGAAAAAAGAAAGAAAGAAAACATGCAAGAAAGCAAATAAACAAGAAAGAAAGAAAGAAAGAAAGAAAGAAAGAAAGAAAGAAAGAAAGAAAGAAAACCAAATAAAAAACTTAAATAAAAAAGGGAGTAATAGATTGGGTCAAATAAGGAATATAGTTACATGTGAAATAAATTAAAGAAACTCATAAGAAAATGAAAGACGAAAAAAAGCGATGAAATTCTTCACTGGTATTGCTCATGCTCTGTCATTTACCAGTATGAAAACTAAAATAATTTCAATTTTCACACTGGCCAATCTTGAAAAAAAAAAATGGTTTTTCGATGAAAATGAATTGATTCTGTTAAGAGCAACCAGTGATACTTTTAGAGGAGAACAAAATCAAATACTTTTCGGCTTTATTCACAAGATGAAGTTCAAACATTTTTATGAGTAATATTTTCATGACCATTTTTCTTTTTCTCACTGTCAACCATTTTTTCTTTCTTTCTTGCTTCCTCATTTCGCCTCAGGTACACAAACACCTGGCAAACAATATGACAGTCATTTAGACGACACGTTAAAGAAAATTGCCCGCAGCGAATTCCCACGCAACAAGCGAGAATTAAACAAAGATAAACAAATATGTATCTGCCCTATATTTTTATTTATCTTTTAAACCATCTCTTGCCCCCACCCTCGTCTCTCCTTTTTTTTTTTTTTAAAACACTGGATTTCCGTCACTGTATATGTTTTTTCTCAGCCTATTCTATACTAACCTATCTACATATCTTAGTCTGTCAATGTTCGTCTATCTATCTATCTATCTATCTATCTATCTATATATATATATATATATATATATATATATATATATATATATATATATATATATATATTTATATATACGAACATCCATACATAAATAGATACATACACAGTATATATATATATATATATATATATATATATATATATATATATATATATATATATAAACCCAGGCCCATAAACTCACATCAACGCAACTAAATATGTTAGCTCTATCACTAATATTGAGCGCTTTTCAATAAGTACAGAGCATATATAATATATAAAAAATGCACACACACACACACACACACACACACACATTCCGTAGACCTCAAAGCATTTTCAGCTGATTTTCAAGGTTTAAGTTGCACATGGATTTACATATATATATATATATATATATATATGTGTGTGTGTGTGTGTGTGTGTGTGTAAAATATATAGAAAATAGGAAAGAACTCTTTAGGTAAATAATGACCCATGTCTTTATGCATACATGAGAAACTATATATTAAGTTTATGGAAAATAAAAATTTACTGAATCAAAAATTCTCCTTAAATAATACTTAAAAATAAAATAAAAATAAAAATAAAAAATGGGAGCTGGTAATATACATATTTATATTTGATATGTAATAATAATTTTTAAATAATTTAAATAATTCTATTACATTTATTTGATTTAAAATGAAATATAGTCTATTAGTAATTAAAAGTAAAAATAATATTTTAAACCTTAGTTCAATATAACGTATTTTAACCTAAACACCCCTTTTAGAGAGAATCTTTAATTATACAAGTAGGAATTTAACGGAAAAAATGCGGAAAAACTTTTTGTCATTGATAAAAAAAAAAACAAAAACAGAAGACATGCGTTGAACGGATGTCAAAATTCATTGAAAAATATACCCCTACCTTCCCTAGACTTAACCACTTTTTCGAACGTAACTCATAATTGATACGACAATAGTTAATAAAAATGAACACGCTACCGCCCCTGTCTAAATGATCCTGTATCCTTGGAAATAAAAAATTATGAATTCTATGTGCGTTTAAAACTCAGTAAATTTAAAAATAAGTTATTCCAAAATTCGCTTGAAGACGAAACAGAACTAATGCTTTTAATTTAATTATATAATTAAATTTGAAGTTTTTAGCTTCGGTTTTTAAAACATGGTAATTCCTGTGTAGCAAAAAAGCCATATATTAAATCAGTTAGTTTATAATATTTATGCTCAATAAATTTACATTGAGCAATTTTTTGTAAAAAAAAAAAAAGTAAGAACAACGGATTATATACCTTACTGTTCTTTCTTTTTTTGTTATAATATATATATATATATATATATATATATATATATATATATATATATATATATATATATATATATATACATCAACATTGAAATTATCCGGGATTTAAATACAAATCCAATTAATTCATCGAGACTAGAAGAATCCTCAACAGAATGCAGAAAGCTCTTGATAGCCGTTTCGCTTTACTGATGAATCTCAAATAGCATGAAATGCCCGTCCACTGCTTTCTGCATTCTGTTGTTGATTTTCTAGACGCGATGAATTATATATATATATATATATATATATATATATATATATATCGTCGTTGTTCGAATTCGTTGTAGAGTATAGGGTGCAGATCGACCTTTCCTTCTGCTTGAATTGTGTCAAATGTTGAATCAGAAGAGATGTCCGCAGCAACTGTATTATAGGGTAGGATGGTGCAGGGTATGAGGAGCACTGAGTTTTCTTTGGACTCTCTTCGTCTCTTCCATTTGTCTTCTGGTGTTTTCGAAGGATATTGTTTTTTTCATGGACTGCTCTTCTCCAATTGGTTCTTTCTGCAGATTCCGTCTCCCAATTGCCCAGATCGATTTCTGTCCCCAGCAAGATGTTTTTGAGCTGATCTTTGACTCGACGACGTGGTGCTCGACTTGGTCTCTTGCTTGATGTGAGCTCCGTGAAGAGGATTTGTTTCGGTAGGCGGAATACGGACAAGTTGTCGGTAGAGAGTCATGATGGTTTCTAGGGTCTCTATATTCTCTGTTCGTGATCAGGTTCTGCCACATGTTCCGCAGGATTTGAGGATGTTTCATGTGATGGCATCTTTCTAGTGTGTGGCGGTCTCTTCAGTAGATTATCCGAGTCCTGCAGGCAAACAGGAGGACCGAGTTTACAACAGAGCTGAAAGAGATGAAAAAGTTAGGAAAAGAACATCAGTCAGTTATGTGCCATGCGTAATACACGCTTACATGATCATGAATCTTTTGATACATGACTGAAGAGGCAGATGTTTTTTTTCCCGCAGTAGGTTGCCATTTCTTTCTGCAGTAGACCAGTTACCATCCAAGGCTATAGAACCCGGGTCTGTCCTTCTAGTTACCTATAGCTGGGGGAGAAGATAAGGCTTCATACCATCCCCAAGGGTATTAGCATATAATGGACTCGACTGGAACTTGAACTGGTTAAAAAAAAGTATGTACATTTCAATTAATCCCACACAGATAAATTTATAACAACATTGCCCCTTCTTCTTCTTCTTCTTCTTCTTCTTCTTCTTCTTCTTCTTCTTCTACTATTATACCCAACGTCGTACTTTTGTTTATTTATTTTTGAAAATAATGATATTGTAGTTTTTTGAAAAAAATAAAGCGTTAAGAGGTCATTTGATAAATATATATATATTTTTTTTATCATATGATAAAATATATATATATGTGTGTGTGTGTGTGTGTGTGTGTGTGTGTGTGTGTGTGTGTGTGTGTGTGGAATAATGGTAAGGTGGACTAATGGAGAGTGGCTCGGTTTGAGGAATCGGAGAGCCGAGTTCGAATTCCAGTCGGATCCATTACATTCACTTTCCTGATAATACTCCCAGGAGAAGAAAAGTATTCATAAAAAGACAAGTATGGGTAAATAGCAGGACAGACTGGGTTTTATAGCCTTGGGTGGCAATCGGTCTAGGAGAAAGAACAAAACCTTGAATTCAAAACAGAACTGGAGAGGGTTGGGCTCCGTTCTTGCCCAAGAAACACCACTTCTACTGCGGCTGCAGTACACATGGTGCCCCTACGACCCTATGGACCACGGGATCATATATATATATATATATATATATATATATATATATATATATATGTAAGCAAATGTAAATGGATATAGATCCGACAGAATGAAGAAAAATTTGGAAAAAACAAACCAAAAATCTTAAATGCAATTATGTTGTTTAAACGTCGACATTTCATTCATTTTAAACATAATTGCATTTAAGGATTTTTGGTTTGTTTTTTTTCAAATATATATATATATATATATATATATATATATATATATATATATATATTATCGATTGCCACTGCGATTTTACAACTGCATTGTTAGATTACCCACGCATATGCATTGATTAATGTGGTGAAGGGTTGTGTAGAAGCAGACACATTTTTCGATGGAATTTTTAACAACAATATTTTTTTATTTTATTTAGAAAAGCCTTTAATTGCCTTTATCAATAAAATCCATTACGAATACTATAATCTTATGAATTTTTTTCTATGATAATGAATTTTACAAGAATCGTTTTTTTTTTCAATTCCAGCTGGAATAATCTATAAACATTTAAACCTTTAAATATTCTTTGTTAATTTGTATCAGCCATGTTGTATTGTTATTGAATAAAAACTATATTTACTTAACATATTAGGTTGGTGCAAAAATAATGTCGTTTTTTGACGT